TAAAAAATAAATTTTTAAAAAATAGAAATTTTTGCATATAATTAAACTTTAAATTTTTATTAAATAAATAAATAATAAATATTATTAATAGATAATATATAATTAAAAATAATATTATATAAATTTTTAGAAAAATATTTTAATTATTTAAAAAAACTAAATAAATGAAAAGTAATTTTTTAGTTTAAAATTTTTAAATATTATAAAAAAAATACCTCATGATTTAAGGGATAAGAAATTTTATCTATTATTATTATTATGATTTATTTTATTATATTTATATTTATTATATTGTTATATATATATATTTTAAAAGATTAAGTCTCATATAAACATATGCATAATCTCTTATAATTTTTTATTTTAATTATTTATTTGAAAAAGATTATAATATCAAAAATATATTTAAGAATGTCTTTTTGATCTTGAATAAAGTTAACTAATAATTTTACAATCATAAAATTATTATATTCATGTTTAAAGATTTTTAATAAAAGAATTTTATTCTTGACTTTTACAAAATTTTAATTAAATTCTAATTGGATAAGAATGTTATATGTCTATATTGCTTTATTTGATTTTTTTTCACTTTTAAATTTATCATAGATTAATATCATTTTGATATTATTTTGATACCAGTTTGATACTTTTTAAAGTCTTATTTATAAAAAAAAAAAAGAGTATAAATAAAATTATATTAAATATAAACTCATACATATATTTGCAATTTAATAATTATTTGATAAAATTATATAAAATTTAAACATATATTTATATTTACAAGTTAATAATCAGTTAATAAAATAATATATTAAAAAATATATTTAAATAATTATGTACAAATAACATAATAATTATGATAATTTAAATCCAGAATAATAAAACAACAACTTGTTTAATCATCTTAAAAGTATTGTAAAAACAAGATTACAGGCAAAATTAAAAAAAAAAAACAATTTGATTCATTTTTTAAATTATACTTAAATATTCGAAAACAATACTACAAATGTAAAATATAATTTGAACACAAAGTTTTATTATTGTTATATTTTTTAAAAAATATAATAAATATTTGTTTAGTATACAGTATATGCGTGTGTGTGAGTGTGATAAGAAATATCAAACTATAAACTTTTTTCAAATGATTTTTTTTGTAATTTTTTATTATTAAAATATAAACTGTCTGTAATTTTTTTTAAATAGTTACTTTTTATTATATGTTGTCAATTTTGATAATTCAATGATACAATAAATTTCTAAAAATTTTTATCAATAAAAAAATATGATCGCGAAAACATTTTCTGTATTTTTAATAGTTTTTTGATTTCTTTAATTAAGTTAATATTTTTTTTAATGAAATTACAATTAATTATTAACAAAATATTAATTAATATAATATGAAAGCAAATCGTCTAAAGTGCTACCACATGCAACAATCAGTGTATCGGAGATATAATTGACTTTATCGTACCCACGTGTTGGGAAAAAATAATTGACACAGAATTATACTATTACAGTAAATCACAATAAAAATTGTTTGATTAATAATAACTTTAACAGTTTTAAACATGGTTCTGCTCTACAAAATTTTTTTTTTCGATTCTCACTTGTGTCAAATCTCAAATATGTACTACAGTATATTGTATAAAAATGCACGAACCAGTGTGATTGTTTAGTTTATGGTTTTTCAATTTTCGTTCTCTCGATTGATCAATGCAAATGAAAGTACACACACACAGCACAAGGCCTCACTTAAGCTCTAGAAAGATTATCTTATCCTCCAAGCTATTTTTGCTATATTCTTCCGTTGAAACGACATCCTGAGGTTTAAAGTTTTTTTCAACGTCGTTCTCATCGCTTTCTGTGAAATTTTCCGAATCACCTTCGTTCGGACCTGCCGATGAATAAACGTAGTATGTTATAAGACCTAGGGTAATGCAGACAAACGCGATGGGGTAGAATGGTACCATCTTTTGCAGAGAAAAGAAAAGGAGTTGGATTTTGTTTTTTTGTTTTTTCGAAAGAAAAAATAAATAAAACAAAAATCGATACGATACCGCAGTTTTAAACAAGCATATAGAGAGTATTAAAGAATAAAAATCGCTGGTGAGAAGCGAGAGGTTAAAGTATGTTGCAGAAGCTATTCGGAGAAGGTACAGGGAAACAGTATATAGGCAGATCATCGCAAAGTTGTATACAATATAAAGACCGACTGAACAAACAGGTTGACGATCATCTACAGTTAGCCATGTAGTAATAAATTGTTTTCAATGTGCGAGAACTCACCTATCGTCCCATCCCAAGTTGTGGAGACTAATTGATGTCGTTCTAATATAGATCTATTAACAATGATGCGATCACGCTGTTACACTCGTTTGGAAAAAACTTTATCTAAGAACGTAAATGGAACTGAAAGGATGGCTTACAATTGAATGATGCTGATTATGGTACCCCAAAAGCCCAATTGACCAATAATTTCATGATACGATCTCTTTCTCGTCAGATACTCTTCTATTATATTCGATATACCGTATAGCGTTGAGCCGACCATACATATTATGTCCCCTTTTATAGGAGCGGAAGCTGAAAAATAATAAAAATAATAAATAAATCATGAATCTAATAAATCACGGAAGCAACGTCGTCTCAAGCAATTAATTTACCAGTGATCATATCTTTTCCGGAATCAAAATCACCTTTGATTAGTATGCCGACGCCGCTCAAACATATTACAATTCCCAGATATTGACTCCAATGATACTTGACTTTTAAAAAGATTAACGATAAGGTGACCACTACGGGTATGGTCCATACGTCAAGCAAGATGATGGAGAGGTTTGACGTATATTGGTATGACATCACGGCAAAAAAATTTCCTTCGACATTAAAAATTGCCAATAATAAATCTAATTTTCAAGATGAATCTTACTTAATAAACCCCTGTGACAGTCGCATGATTAATGCACGTGAATGCGAACTTACAGATCCAGCCATTATCCTTGAGCATATCGAAATATCCTTTTACTCCAAGTCGGCATAAAGTAATAGGCGTGCAAATAATAAACAGGAAAATGTAGGTAAAGGTAGATTGTGTGATGGGAATGTTAGCATTCCGATTAGTCAATTCTTCGCTTGTCATCACGGTGGCAGTTATGCATAACGAAAGGAATTGGCCAAGAACTGTTATTTTCAAAAACTCTTTCGTGAATATAAATGAAAATCTGGACTTTAACGAGAAATGTGGTGTTGATTTGTTGTTTTCTTCTCCCATTTTCTTATGTTATGATAAAGTTCGAACAATGGTTAAATAGTCCGAATGTGTTGAAAATATAAGGGAAAATTCACCGTTTATTAAATTTATACTTTTACTTGCACGCTCATTATCCGAAGAACAGTTCATACACAATAAACCCATTAAAAACAAAGAAATCCCTTCCTAATCGAGTCAGCCGAATCATTATTGCGATCTTCTTATCATGTCTTTTTAATCAAATCGACACGAGGAATTTTCGTCCCGTATTTGGTTAATTGTAGGGAAATTACTATTTCAGGCAATTATTTAATTTCCATATAAAGCACAGTACAGTGCTGTAATTGATTACGATCCATTGTGTGATCATTCCTGGTTACCGGGATCTTAGAAAGATGCTCATACATACAGTACAGTACAATGCTATGAATTTGGGTTCTTTTTTGATCAATTACATTCTTTTCCGTAATCATGCCAATACTAACTTCTGAGAATTTATTATTTCTTGCATATTCATCTAGTTCAATTGATATTAAAGGTCGGCTCATAATTAAAAATTCATGTGATCATGATCGATAGACATGCCGACGAGCATTTAAAGTAATACAGTGCATTAAAATTGTAAAGAAGAAGTTGTTGACGATAATTAAATAGAAATCGTTGTATCGGATGTAACAAAAATGACAAATATACCAAAATGTAGTATACGTTGAATGCATTATTATTATGATCTATTTTTAACTCCATTAAATGATCATGTTTGAATTAAACTCAACTACGTACATTATTGGTCGACGATCATACAGTATCATTCATTTATCTATTTTTTGAAAAGTTTCGTTTCCCAATTCAAATCATTGAGTATTGGCTTATCACCAACTTGAGAAATAGGACAATTGGTATTGAAGCGTGCAAAAACTTTCTTGTATGGTGCAATTTGACTCAGCCTTGTAATTCCTTGAGATATGAGAGAGTCTGGCACAGAAACATTAAAAGCATTCCAAAGTGCCGAGTAGCCCTTCTGCCCGGGAATCGAATTGGGCAATACGCCAACAATAATTCCTTTGGAATTTAGGAGGTGATATATATTGGCGGTTCTGTCTTTATAAGAGGCAACTCCGAAGTCAAAATAGTTGACAACCTTTCCTTGATAATAGGCGGTTTTTGACGCAGCATCTTTCGGTTCCTTAATTGTTGAACCTTCGCCCACTGTATGGGTGCGAGAACAGACAAGTTAACATGGGAAAAAATAATAATAATCAATTTGATAAATTCTACTTATACTCACCAACATGAGAGTTTACAAACAAATGTTTCTTTACTATTTTTACTTTTTTTTGCTTTTTTAATTCCAATAATTCGGAAACGCTTTTCACTGGTGGATCACCCGGTTTCCTTCCCTCGACAATGTTCACATGCCATAGCTCCGAATAACTTTTGTCACCTGGAATATATTCAATAAGATTTTTTTGAACCAATTCTTTGCCGTGCGGAGGGATGAACACGTAAACCGGGACGCTTGGTAGATGCTTTGGCGGTTCGGTAAACCCATAATAGTCGTAAAGGACATAAAGCTTGATCGGGGTATTCTCGTAGAATGATGGAAACACTTGAAGATCTTGTTTCACCAAAGTTGAAGGATCAACGGCGAAACATAGTGCGATGATAGTAAAGAGGAGGGCAGTGGTTTTCAACATGGTAGGAAATTTGACGGTCTCTTCAACTCGTTTACAGTTGAGCTTGAGATTTATATCCAATCTTCAGCAAAAGTAGGTAGAGAAAAAGCATGATTGTACGATCAGAACCTCTACTATAAGCATTGAGAAAAAGGAAAGCAATGTTTTCTATCGATTTCCATAAACTGAAAACAATAATCAATGATTGGGTTTCAAAGAAAAAAAAATAAACAGTGAATGCATGTATCTCCAAATTACAAATACAGCTGTTGCGATAAAAGCAATAAAAGAACGCTCCATTGTTCCCATGCACATTTTAATGCACGCAACAACTTGAATAGGTAATTCTGATGTTACTTAATTGATTTAGACAAATTGGAATAAAGTTGTGGAGATCTCTCATTAGGAAATTCACATACGAAAAATAGTTACCATAGAAAGGTCAATTATATTTAAACATTTAATTAACACATCGAATTAAAACCGGATTACAAACGAGTCGTACCACATTCATTTTAAAGCGACCTTAATAATCATAGGTCTAGCTTTGCTCAACAAAAATCTTTGGCACATATTTTGTGCCCATACCATAAACATCGTAGTTTGGACTTACACGAAATCTGTTTCGTAATGACTATTGACATCTATATTTGGATCGGATTAAAGGAAAGGAGCGAATAAGGAATGATTGAAATAGTAAATTGAGAAAGATAGCACAAAAACATCAATTTTCATAATGCGAAATACGGTGAACTCCACATCTTTGAGCGTAGTGATAGGGCGTAATCAATTGCTTTTTGCGTTCTCGTCATGCAATTTTCGCATAATGTAACGGGTCCAACAATCCTGCAGTTGGTGACCGGTATCCATCTTGTTTTAACTTGATTTTCTTTTTCTTGAGTAAAAGAGCACGAAAATTTCATAAGAATCAGGTTGCTCTTGATTACTGTATGCTGCTTTCGGGTTTATGTTTTTCTTTTCTATCGCGAGGGATAACGAAAGACAGCAGACTCCCCGCTTAGCCTACCCCAACAAGTAAGTAGGTTAAGGGATCGAGAAAGATGTCGTGCCACGTCGCGTATCCGTCTCTTCTCTGATTTTGTGATATTACTGTACAGTATTTCTTGTATTGTTTAACAATAATAATTAAATAAAGTATATTATAACCAATAGAATTTCAAAGAATTCTATAAACAGACGTTTTTCTCACCAAATAATTTCAGTTATTACATATTAAAAATTTTATTTTGTCAAATTTAAAAGAATTCTTATTATAAACTCTGTGATCTTCATTATTAGGAGTACTGTTTTAAGAAATGATGGTCAATTACGTGATAAATATATTTGCCATACATTGAAATGGCCGAATGTTGGATTTCAAGAAACTCCACCAAACATTTGAATCTTTATTCAATAAGACATAAGCTTTTTGATGAATGATGAATAATAAAATCATTTGATTAATATAAAATCAATTTTTACATATTAAATAAACTTATTTTTTACAATAAATTTTATATAAACTTTTATGATACAAAAATTTACATTATTTGGCATATCAAATAAAACTAATTTTAAACTTATTAAAATCCATTGTTATTGTTATTAAAGTTTGATTCTCACACGTGAAGCATCATTCGAAATTAATATTTACTTATTGTAAAAAAAATTTTTTTTTATCAAATTATGATTTGATTTTTACGATTTTTCATTTTAAATAAATGAATGTAAATATAAATATGAATATGTTAAATTTTAATAATATTCAGTTGATTTTTTCATAACTATTATTTTAACAAACAACTTGTGTAATTAATAATTTGTATGCTATAAATATAAAGATTATTTATTATAATAATTTCTATATTCATAAGAAAATTTATTTAATTTAATTACGTTAACACGCTACGATAAAATAATTATTGATTGTACATTATTCAGAACAACAATTATTCAAATCAACTAGATATTAACATTGTGTCACACAGCATTTATCGCTTCATCATTGCATATACGTAAATAGAATAGATAGGTTCTTTTTTTTTCTCATTTGATAAATAATTCTAAAAAATGTAAGTCTTCATAAATTATAACTTAAAGACCAACACCGCTATAATAAGGTCAAGATCTTGAGTAAGTTACCTTTGTTCCGCGAAGGGAAACACTTTGATCTTGTGAAACGCCTAAAGGGACTGTTAAGAAGAGATTAGCAAGTACACGCCTCGGAGTAAAATCCTTACTTATTAACGTCACGTGAAGAACAGTCCGAGTTGGCGATCAACTTGTCGATGGCGGCAACAATATACTGTATTACTGTACTGTGCTATAGTACGTATAATTATAACCATTATTATCATTTCATATTTAAAAAATTATAACTACGGTATTATAAGATTTCAAAGTGATTATTTTTGTTATTTTATAATCAGATATTTTGACATGTTTGCTAATATATTGTAACGGTGATTGGCGAGTCCGCCAATTATAGTTCAAACTCATGTAACAATTGGCAAGTGTTTTTAAAGGTTGAAGTGGATTTGATATTGGCCGAAAATGACACTTTATTAAATTTTGCTCTCTATTTATACCTTTTTACATGCTAATTACATAATAATAATGGTGTGTACTAATTAAGCTAAAACTACTGAAATCTCATGATGTAACGATTGTTAGATAATTTTCACATTTTTTCCATTACATAATTTATTAAATTGACCCATAGTGTCATGATCGATCCTTGCACAATCCAGTCACGTGACAATCATCGCGATTGTGTCACTATTTAACTTCCGGGTATTCTTCCTTTTTCCGGCTTGCACTAGTTTTCTATCACACAATATCCTGGCTTCTTGTGATTCCAGAATATTGTCTAAACCTGAATTATTAGATCACGACCCATTATGCTATATAAATGTGCTGCGTGTCGTCACCGTTAGAATCTAAAAATACAGTAATCGGTATCTTCGTCAAATTTGAAAGCCAACTATCTAACAATTTAATCACAAATTTTACATATGATATTAAAATAATTGCATATTTATTACCTTCAAAATTCGTATCTTGAGTTTCTTGTGGACAATTAACATGTCAACAGTTAATACTCATAATTACTAACAAAATATTAAAATATGTACTATTTGCAGGCATACCGTTTATATCGAAGAATTGACTCTGACTAGATGCGCCCGAACGGATATTATTGCTTGAGAGTCTACTTGTTGGTTCATATGCTCCTGATTCTATTTCATCGTTCCGGAGTTTCTCCGCAATGATAAATTGATTAGAATCCTCATTCTCTATACACCATCTGTCAAATTGTTCCATTATTTCTTTAATGTTTGGTCTTTCGGATGAATTTGAATTCCAACATCTTTTCATCAAATCGGAAAACACTTTTGGTGTATCGCTAGTAATTTTGGGCCTTAATCCAACATTAATGATGTCATGTACAAGCCTACTATTATGAGGTTGATTTAGAAATGGTCGGCATCCCGTTGTAAATTCCCACATCAGCACTCCAAAGCTGTAAACATCTGATTCTTGAGTATATGGTGAGCCATAAAATATCTCTGGTGCTACATAAGACAATATTCCATATATACAATTATATTTGTAAGGAGAACCAACTTCTCGGCATAATCCCAAATCTCCAATTTTAACTGATTCTTGTGATCCACGCGCTCCCAAAAAAATATTTCCAGAATGTAAATCGCAATGTATTAATCCAATGTTGTGAATCTGTCCTATTCTATATTATTGAGTTATATATTTATTCTTTATATTCGAGCAATGATCATAGAGATTCTGAATAACATACCCGATAGCAATATAGCGTAATTTTTCAATCTTCTCCTGCCATGTAATATTTTTGATGTTTTTTTGTAGATACTGATCCAAACTTCCACCTTCAGCATATTCCATGACTATGGCCAACCTTCCTGTATCGGGATCTCCAGTGATCCCGTAATATTGTAAGACATACTCTTCTGAACTTGTAATCTCTAATGTTACCAACTAATATAAATACAATATAAGCAACAAGTTAATAAATTGTTTATCTTCTCATCGTATACTTTAATAAGCATAAAAATACTTTCTTCTTTGATAATCATGGTATACGAATCGCTTGATTTATATAAGAACTTTAAGATTACTTTAATCTCTTCCAAATCTTTCACCCAAATTGCTTTATATACTTCTCCAAAACCACCTTTTGCCAAATACTCAACATTCTTAAATTCGTCATACGGTATGAAATTTATGTCCTTTTCAATTTCTATTTTTACTTCCGACAATCGATTATATTTTTTATTCATCATTTTGTAAGTTATTCCGCGATTCCATAATCCCATAGCATTATCCTTTTCCATCTCCAGTGATTTATTAAGATCGGAAAATGATTCTTCGTATCTTTTCAATAATCTGTAGGTTATTCCTCGATTTCTTAGCACAAAAGCATCATCTGGTTCAATTTCTAGTGATCTACTAAGATCTAAGAGTGCTTTGTCATACTTTCCCAATAATCTGTAGGTTATTCCACGGTTCTCCAATGCAAGAGGGCTATCTTGTTCTATGTCCAATGATTTGTTTAAATCTAAAAGTGCTTCGTCGTATTTTCCTAACATTCTATAGATCCTTCCACGATTCCTCAAAACGATAGCATTGTTTTTTTCAATCTCTAGTGATTTATTGAGATCTAAAAGTGCTTCATCATACTTGCTCAATATTCCGTAGGTTGATCCTCGAATGGCTAATAAAGTGGCATCGTTTGGCCGTATTTTTAGTAACTTATTGATATCTGATAGAGATTCGCTATGTTTCCCCAACATTATGTATATTTTTTCGCGATTTTCCAATGCAGAAACTTCATCCGAACACAATTCTAATGATCTATTGAGATCCACAAGTGCTTTAGTATGTTCGCCTAGCATTTCGTACACTACTCCACGATTTCTCAATGCGAAAACGTCATCCGGTTCAAGCTCTAATGATTTATTTAAATCTAAAAGCGATTCCCTGTATTTTTTTAGCATCCTATAGGTCACTCCGCGATTAGTTAATGTATAAACGTCTTTGGGCTCCGTTTCTAGTGATCTATTAAAGTCCAAAAGTGCTTCGTTATACTTGTCCAACTCTTTGTAGGTTAATCCACGACTGCTCAATGCAGATGCATTTTCCGGTTCTATTTCCAGTGATCTATTGAGATCTAAAAGTGATTCTTGATATCTACCCATAACTCGATATATTCTCCCACGGATTCGTAACCCAGAAGCATTATCTGGCTCAATTTTCAACAATAGACTGAGGTCTAAAAGTGATTCGTTGTATTTTCCCAATAACCCGTACGTAACTCCGCGATCTTCCAATGCAAGAACATTATTTTGTTCCATTTCCAATGATTTGTTTAAATCTAAAAGTGCTTCGTCGTATTTTCCTAATATTTTATAGATTCTTCCACGATGCCTCAAAGCAGGAGCATTATTTTGTTTAATCTCCAGTGACTTATCGAGATCTAAAAGTGCTTCATCATATTTACTCAATGTTCCATAGGTTGATCCTCGAATAACCAATAAAGTGGCATCGTTTGGTCGTATTTCTAGTAATTTATTAAGATCTGAAAGAGATTCCTTAGGTTTTCTCAACATTCTATATATTTCTTGCCGATTTTCCAACGCAAAGACGTCATCCGGACTCAACTCTAATGATCTATTAAAATCTATAAGGGCTTTAGTATATTCTCCTAGCATTTTGTATACTAATCCACGATTCGTTAATGCAAAAGCGTCATCCGGATCAAGCATTAATGATTTGTTTAAATCTAAAAGCGATTCGTTGTATTTTTTTAGCATCCTATGAGTCACTCCGCGATTAGTTAATGTAAAGGCGTCGTTGGGCTCAATCTCTAATGATCTATTAAAGTCCAAAAGTGCTTCATTATACTTGTCTAACTTTTTGTAGGTCAATCCACGATTGCTCAATGTAGATGCATTGTCCGGTTCTATTTCCAGTAATCTATTGAGATCTAGAAGTGATTCCTGATATTTACCTATAACTCGATATATTCTCCCGCGAATTCGTAACCCAAAAGTATTATCTGGCTCTATTTTCAACAATAGACTGAGGTCTAAAAGTGATTCGTCGTATTTTCCCAATAACCCGTAAATTACTCCACGATTTTCCAATGCAAGAGTATTATTTTGTTCTATTTCCAATGATTTGTTTAAATCTAAAAGTGCTTCGTCATATTTTCCTAATATTCTATGAATTCTTCCACGGTGCCTCAAAGCTAGAGCATTATTTTGTTCAATCTCCAGTGATTTATCGAGATCTGAAAGTGCCTCATCATACTTATTCAATAACCCGTAGGCTGATCCTCGAATAGCTAATAACGCGGCGTCGTTTGGTCGTATCTTTAGTAATTTGTTAAGATCTGAAAGAGATTCGTTAGGTTTTCTCAAAATTCTATATAATTTTTCGCGATTTTCCAGTGCAAAAACTTCATCTGGACTTAATTCCAATGATCTATTGAGATCCGTAAGTGCCTTGGTATATTCTCCTAGCATTTTATACACTACTCCGCGATTGCTTAACGCAAAAACATTATCCGGTTCAATTTCCAATGATCTATTTAAGTCCAAAAGTGATTCATTATATTTTTTTAGCAGTCTGTAAGTTTCCCCACGATTTGTTAACGCGAAAATATCATTTGGCCCGATCTCTAATAATCTATTGAAATCCATCAGTGCATCATCATATTTGCCCAACGTTTTGTAAACTGCTCCACGGATTTTTAACGCAAAAGAATTATTCAAATTTTTCTTGAGAGCGTTATTCAAATCTAAAATTGCTTCATCTAATTTTCCCAAAATTATATAAATTTCACCACGATTTTCTAACGCAATGACATCTTCCGGTTCTATTTCCAATAATCTATTGAAATCGATGAGTGCCTCTTTATATTTGCCTATTATTTTATACGTTTTCCCGCGACTTCTAAGTGCGTGTGCATCATATGGCTCTAATTCCAATAACTTATTAAGATTTAAAAGCATTTGTTGAAATTGAGAAGGTACGTCTTCATTTTCTACCTAGAATAAGAACGCACAGAATGTAAGAATGTATATAAGCTTCGGGTCCTTATATGAGACTTTCTCCCTAAAGTATCAATAATTAAATTTTACCATATCATGTTCCATATTTCATAATTTAAATACAGAATTTTAAATTGAGAAAATTTACTTTTTCTTTTTCTTTCTGCTGCAATAGATCTTATTGAGACTGTATTGTGGTCCTGATTCCGAACCTGGATAGGAGGACCAAGTCTTATTTTGAACATGAACCTGCAGATTTTAACATTACATAGTAGTACATAACGTATAGTCCACGAGACAATATCTATATACAGTACTTGTACGATATCTTGTTCATATTAGGTCAAATAATAATTTTTTACTTTTTGAAACAAAATAAAGAAAAGAAAAGAAACAATGTTAAAATCAAAACCAATGATTTTCATAATACGTACAATAATAATGTTTAAAATACGTAGGCAAAACAAAGAGTGTGAAGGCAAAGATATTGCTTTGATTTATGCTGAGTAATTATTAATTGTATGAGTTAAATTTTATTTAAATCTTAGCTTTATGTTGCCTATATTGTTTTCTTAACAATAAATTTTATTTGTTTATATGTTTAATTTTGTTTTCTTTATTTAGTTATTTTCTTTGATTATTTAATGCTTCATGAGTTAATGCACTAGGATTTATTAGAAAAATATCTAGTATATATTATTATACTGTATAAAATGATTATAAGATTACAGCTGTTCTATTAGCTTGTCCGTTTATATCGACTTCTTATATACGTACGTACATGTATTTTTTTTTTGAAAAATGAAGGTATAAGCTTTCAAATAAAATTTCATTACCGAAATTAAAAAAAATATTAATGATTGCAACAATTATTTAAATTAAAAACTTTAACTAATTAATACTATAATTATCTTTTTAAAAACATCTTATATATTATTATAGGTGACTTTAATTTCACTTCTTATTCAATAGATAGAACCCCAAAATCTGAACCAAAATACAAATCAATTACTTATAAAAAACCAAAGTTATTAATATAGAACCAGAATTTTACAGTAACTACAAAATCATCATACTTACCCTTTTTAACTTCTTAGTTACAAAACCCTTTAAAAGAATACCTATTACTAATTTTAACTTTAACAAAATAATAACAAACCTGGAAAACAATAAATACAACTCTTGATGATTTTATGAAACATATTTCTGAAAACTCAAACATTTAAGAGACCTGAAACTCTTTAACACAAATATTAATAAAATACTTGATGAATTTATATCAAAAACATAAATCCAAAAAAAGTTCTTATAAATTTTTAACATCCCTCTATAAAAAACTCCAAACTATCAAATTTCATATTTACAATTTATCTATACAAACATTATTTTTTCTTAATCTCTCAATATTGAATAATTTCAAAAATCTTAAATTTTTTTATCATGACAAAAATAATTATTTTAACTTATTAAAAAAACTATTTTAAAATATTCACAAATTATTAAAAATTGAAAATGATTTTCAAAGAAATAACAAAATCAATAATCAACAAAAAACAAATCTCCAACACAAATTAAAAATTATGATCAAATAAATACTTAATTACAAAATTTCTTACATATCCTTCACAAAAATTTTTGATTTAATCAATAAAAAAGTAATAATTAACTCTTTACTAATTCAATAAACAATTATTTATCACTACAAAAATATATTTTATAAATGAAATATTAGCAATAAACTCTTAAACAAATGATAAAACACTACATACCACTCAAAAACATTGATATTTCAATTTATAATATACTAATAAGTCTAATTATTAAATACAAAATTATAGAAACAATTAACTTACATTCTAATAACAAAACACCTGGTTCTTTTAAATCATATACTATTTTATTAAACAAATTCAATAAACATTTACTCCTTATCTCCATACAATATTTAATCAAATAATTTTTTTTCAAGAAATTTCAACAAATTAAAAAAATTATTATATATTTCTAATTAACAAAAAATTCCAATAAAAATATAACATTCAAGAAATCAGACCTATTGCTCCTATTAACTTATTCTGAAAATCTTAACAAAAATATTAACAAAAGAACTTAGCTATATACTGTTAACATATAATTTTCTTTAAGAATTTATCTTCACAGGTCTTTTTAATAAAAGTACTTTTAATCTACAATATTAGAAAACTTTTACAAAAGAAACTACAGATTTTTTTTACTTAATATCAGTACTGTCTTTAACTCTGTCAACTTGAAAATATCTAAACTTTTCATGAAAAGATTTTACTTACTAGCAATATTTTTATCAACTATATATATCAAATAATTATAGACATTAACTTTGTCTAATCAATTATTATTCTTAATAAATTAATTAAAGAGAAATATTATTATTTCTCTAATGGATTATTTTTTATAATTCTTTAATTATAGCCCTAATACAATAACTATTTTATTTTAAACATAACATTATTACTTATATATATAACTTCAAATCTTTTTTCCATTTTTAAAACCAAAATTTAAAACTATTTCAAATAGCTACAGAATTCTTTTAACTTAATAATATCAAATTTAACTTAATCAAAACCAAGCTAATTATAATAAACAGTTTTGCAATTGATAAAAAATAAAAAAATAATTTCTATTTATTCAATACAAAAAAAAACCAATCAAAATTTTGGAAATCTGGCTTTCTGAATACAGTATTCTTATTTCTAACTGGAAAAAAATTTTAAAAAACAGAAACAATAATTTAAGCATTCAAATCTAAATTTATAACAGGTCATATAACAGTGTATATTTATAACATGATTCTTCTTTTGCATATTAAATTCAAATTACAAACAGTATTTTTTACTTTAAACATGTTAAGAAAAATTCAATAATAAATTGATATACAATTAAATACAGTATAAATTCAATATCAAAGGAATTTTTCCTTAAACATGATTTTATAGCCTATATATAGTCAATATCAAATATATTTTAAATCTAAAATCAAAAGTCTTAATATTCAAATTTCAATATTAACTAACAAATTTTATTACAAAACTATTAAATGAATCAGAAATCTATACTATGCAAATTCAAAATTGCCAGTCTTTTTGTTTTTTTCAAAATCAACAAATTTTTAAATATAATATAACATCTATACAATTTAACTTGCCAATCACTACAAATTATATTTAGCACTAAAACAAACTATCAATACAAATTTCTAAAAAGAACTATTCTCATATTATAAAAACTAGTTAGTTTTTGCAAATTAATATTTCAATAAAAATTTTTTTTATATTGAACAATTTTTAATGTATAATAATAATAACATTATAAGTTGATAATATATTTTAATTAAAAAAAAAAATCTTTCCCACTTCCTTTCTATACTTGAAATTTTCTTTTTTAGAAAATTTTTGAGTTGTTTATTTTTTTTTGTTCTTTCTTTTCTTCTCTTCACTTTTTCTTTTCTACATTTTTTTCTTTCTCTTCTTCTTTATTTTTTTCTCTTTTCTACAAATTCCTTTTTATATATTCTTCTCTTTTCCCTTTTCTTTTTTCCTTTCCTTATTAAAGCAAGATTTTTTTTTTAGGTTTCTCTCTCTTTTCAATATACTATCTCTTATCTTATTACTCCCCTGATTAATGGACTCCCTTTTTTCAAAAAAAATATAGGAAGTAGCAAGGTTTTCAATAAACATGAGCTTTGAAAATTTTTTTTTCCTTGGCTTTTCAAAAAAAAAAATGAATAGTTTATTCCCTTCAAAAGATTGATATAATCATTATAATCTAATTCGTTGTTGTTTACTTGTTAATAATAAGACTAAATACCTAAAAAACTGGTATACAACTATTATTATTCAAAAGTATCTAAGTAGTTGTATTCACAATATTCAGAATAATATAGTAGCCAATGCCAATACAATTAACAATAAGCTAGATTAGTTTACAGATGTCATGCTAATAATTGAAAAAATCTAGTAAGATAATATATAAAGATCAAAAATTCTAGTTATCTTCACAATATAAGCTGGTGACAACAATAAAAGTTTCTCATTTACTCTCTAACAATATAGGTCTTATTATACAAGGTTAAGTATTGTTAGCAATAGTATCGGGTATAGGGACAGGATCGGCGCGGGTCACGTGACATGACGTGATGCATCAGTTCATGCATCAATGTGGAGAAAAAAGTTTAAGAAGTCTATTGAAGATTTGCATGACACGATGATAGATTGATGGATGCGTCGCAGCTAATATAAATAGAAGTAGGATTAAAGTAGTAATAGGAGAGAGTCAATTGCCTTGTAATAAACCTGTAACTTGCAGAACGATAATTAATAAACTTACCTTAATAAAATACTTGT